AAACAGAAATTCTGTCAACAAAAATTTGGTGAATATACTTTTGTAGGAATGCCAATGAAGTAGTTAAATGCTCTTCAGGTTTAAAGTACAAAAACCTAACTGCTGAAAAAGCAACTGTTGTCATTTCAGCCACAATTAAAAAATTTACTGACTCTGCCAATCAAACTCAATAACATACATAAAGATTAGAGCAAAAGTTACAATATACTAATTTTCAAAAACTAAAAAGTAATAAACGCCAACAATAACAAAGATGCTCTGAATAAATATTTCCATTATGCAAAACGGTTATTAGTGACAGGAAAACTTAATAACATAACGTTTCTCCAACAAAACAAAAAAGAACAACTAACCTTCTGTACGGCGACTTATTATGCTTTCGAGGAACATTGTTTTCATCTGGTAAAAATACCTGTACTGAACCTTCTTTGAGATCCGGATTACCACAAATAGCATGTGTCGTATCACAATAATAATCGCATTTGCTAACAAAACAATGATTTTTGGCTGAAATGAAAACAAAACTTTATATCAGTCAAACACTATTAACATTTATGGCAAACTAAAGCTTGCATAACCAAGTTTACTTCTTCGTTTCAATTGTTCCTGGTGCACTGTTCAAAACTTGTTGAAAAATAAATCATGATACAATAATGAAAACGGTTAGTTGAGAGAAGTTCGAAAAAAAAAAACCTGGTGATACAAAAAATGTTTTTTTCAACCGTTTTTCTGCTCTGTCCCGTAATTCAGACGTTAAATTGAATATCCTACCAACAGTTGGTACAGCCCGTCGAAATCCCAGAATCCTGAACACTCAGTTTAATAGTCAAACATTTTTGACAGAAAAAGGCATAATCAAGCGTGCAGCAAATAATATCATCTCAAAAAGTTGTAACAAAAAAAACCTTAATTTTAATCTTTTCACCAACACAAAAAAAGGAAAAAGAACAACTTGTCAAGATGGAATGTTGCAATTTCTGCGTGATGCCTCTCAAAATCGCTGAAGTAAAAGTGATTTGGATCCGTTTCATAATCCCTTCCAAACCTACAAAATTTTACCAAATAACTGACCACTCAGATTCACATTAAATGATAAACAATGATAAGACAGAATATATTTCATATAATTTAGGTAATAGTCGCCAACCTCATTGGCTTAAATACAGCCTGCTCATCGTTAGTGAATGTTAAAATCAATTTCACCTGTGTACCACCATCCATTATTGAAACGTGTTTTATAGGTAATTTATTTAAGTCATGTAATAGCCTCTTTATTACCTAAACAGCAATATATCGACAGCTAAATCAAACAAAATTTCCAAAGACTACTTTGCTGAATAAGAATCTTTAATCAATCAATGACTGACTTCATCACTTCGATACAAATCGCAGCTACCAATTTCAGCGTAAAAATTTTCCCAAGAATCCCGTCGTGGAACATCAAGCCTATAAAAAGAGTATGTTTCAAAAACGCCTTTTATTCGCACTACTGATAAACTTTCAGCGATACTGCATATTAAAATTGCTCGCTTCCGAAAGCTCTGCAATTTTTCCTTAGCATCTTACAGCAGTCATTAAAAAAAACTTTTCAAGGAGAAATGACAAAAAAAAAAGCAGAAAGCTGAGTATTTTCAAAACTCATATTTGAGTATTCGAGAAAAAATAATTTGTATTTATTAGCTATTTACCCTTTCGTCCGCTTCCAAAAATGTCCCAACGTTTCGTTGTTTCTACACTCAGATGCAATAAGTGCGTCTAGGTCCAAATCAGATAAATATTTCATAAATCTGGATACTAAAATATGATCAACTCTTCGACCTGAAATCTGCCAATTATTGCATCTTTCAATCCTTTATAAATTTAAAGAATTAAACAAATTAAATATAAATAATGTGATAAAACACAAGGAGGACGACAGGACTGAATATTTCTGGTAACAAAAGACAAGCCACTCATAAGTTATAAAAGAGAACCCGTAGAGCTTCGACTTCTGTCCAAAATTCTTTGGTAACCCGTATTCATTTGATTTGCAGAAACTGTACGATCGTTTCGCCCGTCACCCCTATAGCTCTGCCGTACCGGTCGAGGAAAGTTTTGATTTTCATCACCTAATAACCACTCTGAAAACACAAAAAATGCAGGTTCCGACGTTTTTCAGTTTTGATTTATAGTTCGTTACAATTTTGATCAAGTTAAATCCTACGCCCAACCTATTCAGGGTTTTCAAATTTTTTCCATCAAGCCAAAAAAAAAGACTTTGAAATTAAGACAACTGATAGGCAATTTGTCTACATACCTATAGAAGACTTGACAGAAGCAATAGCAGTGATACAATATACTCACATAAAAGATGAAGTCTTTTTTACCTACAGTTTCGTCGATTTATTGTCAGAATAGTATTGACAAACTTCACCAAATTTTCTTCTATGTCAACAATTACTCAGTAATTTATTGTCTGGTTTTGAACACAGAAATTTCTTATAATTTCTTATTCAAACGCATATACAGTGAAATCATATCTGGAAGTAAATAGCTAATAAACTTTTCAGCTGTTGGTATCTTCCTCTTCGAAACTACTGCTACCACCTCTGCTTCATATCGCAAAAACAGGCAAAATAAAAGAATTTGATTTAAAAGACAAAATTTTTCAAATAAAAATATTTGATTGAGCTAAAATCTAGCAAAAACAAAAAAGAAGCCAACAAAAGGAAGAGTTGAAGCAGAAAAACGACACCTTATGACAGGTGTAATAAAACCTCAGCTTAATTTTCAAATTATTTGATCAAAAAATTAAATGTTTCTTTCAGTTTTTCTAAATATTAAAAGACAGGCAAAACCAAAAGCGTTTTTTCATCAATGAAGTAAATGTGGGATAACATAAGACTCATTTCCTTTCATCAATTTTTTTTTTGTTGCTGTTGTTGCAAACGATCTTTGTTAACCGATAAAAAGACTAACAACCGTACTGCAAAGTACCCAACTAATAGCAAAAAGTTGGCTTATCAAATTCCTTTAAAACTGCTGTTGTAAAACAACAACTGAAAAAAAAAAAAAAACGTAAAACAAAGAAAATCTAAGGCAGAGAGGAAACCTAACGAATTACTATATAGGGTAAAAGTGTAAAATTAATGCGAAAAAAGTAAATTTTTTTGCATTAGTCAAACTGTACTGATATTTGGTATTACACAGCTTAACAAAAAAAAATTTACTGATGCAGTTGGGGTTTATAAAAGTGTCAGGTGTACAAAGCTGCAAAGCACCAGTCAATGCAATTTAATTTTCCTTGCAATGCAGTTTCTATCATTGTTGTTGATTCTTTTTCAGTTGCCACTTAATACATAACTAAGTAAAAAGGTAAAAACAAAAAAAAAAAGTTGTAAACCATAAAAATTCGATGGTGATCCATCAAAAGTTAGAAAGAAAAAAGTTCAGTAGAATGGAAGCTTAGAAGTATAACTCCAAACAGTTGACCATATTGACTTCTTACGAAAAAAATAAATACATATACCCACTACTAATTTGGTAACATAATTTAACCTCTGTGTTACAAAAATTAAAAAATTTTTAATTTTTTTTTCCTGACCACCAAAAATTGATCAATTGCACCAAAAAAGTGTTCAGAAATTAAAAAATCAGCATTATCAGTGTAAAATTACGACAAAAGTAGAGTAGTTGTCTTGTCTCTCCTTACCCCCAATTACTCTCCAATATTTCCTCCTACTGGTGCTTTGTCCAACTTCTTTTCCGTCTCCGTTCCTGTCTTCTCCAATTTTTCCCCGTCTGAGCCTTATAAAGTTTACTTCTGTTAATGACGCTATTTCAAAGAGATATTAACTAAATGCCAAATAACGATTCGGCATTCATTACAGACAAAAATCTCATACTTAAATTACAGGCTAAAAAGCAGGTAAAAAACAGCAAATCTCCATACCAATACTTAAATAGAAATAATTACCAGACATATTCAATCCAAATCATTATATTTTTAATCATCGATAATTCTCTTTTTTTTTTTGCAAAACTAATCCTTAAAAACTGCAGACTGATTGTCACCTGTTTCCCTTTTAATTGATCTTAAAATAATTAACCACTGATACTCAATGTCGAAAAAAATAAAAACGAAATTTTACAAACTTCAAAAAACCATCTGTTAGATAAATCGAATAAATAAAGCAGAAATAATAATAGAAAAATAAAAAAAAAATTGAAAACAACAGCAGCGCCCCTACGAACAATCATCGACAACAGAACTAAATAAAATCTTATTTCTTTCATCACCTAACTTTTCAACAAATAGTTCAAAAAGAAAAAAAAATTAGATCTTTAAATGAAAAAAAGTTACAGATATTTAATAGAGAACAAACTTCTCGAAGACTTTTTCTCCACTTTTGCTGTTTTTTCCCTTCTTTTTTTTTTCCTCCCCAAAAAAGATATGTTGAAAAAAAAAAAAAAAAGAAAATTTTTACACTTTTCAATCACTTTGCAACTACAGAATAACTTTTTTCCTCATCAACCATCACCCATCATCACCACTCAGAATCCAAAACATTACTGCTACACTGTATTGACTGCTCGGTTATTTTCTATATTTCAATATATAGTTAAAAATTAGTAACTTTCTTTAATCCATCATTTTCCTGCATCAGTTCAGTTAGAAAAAAAAACAACAACAACAACAAAAAATTTTAAATTTTAGATAACCTTTGCTGTCAAAAAATTTTCTTCAATAAATTTCATCAAAAAACCTTAAATAAATGTAAAAAAGTGATGAAAATAAAGTGCTTAAAAAGTTAGATATTAAAAAATGTAAACATATGTAAATAATAAATAACCGTAAATAAACAGAGATCTACAGCAAAAAAAAAAAGAAAAAAACACTCAATAATATGCAAATTTATAATCCTTCAATTCAATATTGTTGTTAAAAGTTTCAAAGACCCCTTTCTTTCTTTCTTTTGCATGTTGCCTACTTTTTATTTGCTTCTTTCATCTTTTCAACACACTCAAACATTTCTCCGCTGTTTGGCTCATTAACCAAAAAAACTTCGTAAGCAAATAGAAATTTCAAATCTAAACAAATTCATAATTGTTGACTTCAGATTTTTTACCCTCACTTTTTTTTTTGCATCGCCTTCGCGCGCATCACAGCTTTTTGTGTTTTCTTTTGCTCTGAATCACTGTTATTGCGTATATCCATTCATTCAAACACTCACATTTTAATGAAGCCAAAATAAATGTGGTCATCAAATAATAAAAAAAAAAAATTGTGCTAAAGCTTTTCAATGTTATTGGCAGACACAAAGATCGGCAGAACAAAAAAAAAAAAAAAAGCAAAAAAATCCCATATTTCAGTTCATTTGTTTGAATGATCATTAAAGTCAGCTGAACAAACTAAGATGTAAAAAAAAATTCTTTTTTTTTTTTCAATAATTGAAAGTCTTCTAAAATATAATTGGCAAACAACAATATTAACAAATAACAACAATAATAAATGTAATAATTAATTACCTCTCTCGTCACCGGTTTTCGGTATTGATAACAATACAATTGTGGTACAGAATCCAGCGATAAAAAAAATTGCAATTCGTTTAAGACTAAATCGCATGATTCCTTCTGTATTTTGCCAGTTGTTGTTTGTTCAAGCAGCAATAGCAGCAGCAGCAGCAGCGGTAGCAGCAGCAATAGCAGCAGCAGCAGCAGCAGCAACAGCAGCAGCAGCAGTAGTAACAACAACAGCAACAGCAGTATCTTTCATTTCAATAATGCTAACCAATGTTTAGAAATCATTGTTGATATCAAACGAACAGGTCTCAAACAAATACTTCTTCCTTGCTGTCGTTTTCCTTTCCCCACTTTTTTTTTTTTTTTGACTTCTACTTCAGCTACTATTACTACTACTACTTGATCTTCTTCTTCTTTCCACCTCTTCCTCTTCTTCCACTTTTTCCTTCCTCCTGATACTTTAACAGGATAAGCAATAATAACTATCGATCAGCTTATGGAGATAATCACTTTGTCGCCACCACCAATCACCTGATATACTGAAGTGTATTTATTTGTTTTTCCTTCTTTTTTTTTTCTTCTTTGACTAGACAACACTCTGCGAACAACAGGATTCTGATTCAATAAATCGTAGCTGAAAAAAAAAAAACAGATAAGTCATTAAAAGTTGCTCAAAAAAATAAAAAAAAAAAAAGATAGCTGAAACGTATAAAAGTCGTTAGGAAAAACGTCGATAGGCATACAAAATATCACAACAATTCGATTAATTGTTCTGCCTATAAATATGTGAACTAATAGTACTATTGTTGCTGTTACTGCTGATGAAATTCTATGTTTTTCAGCTGGGAACGATAAAAAAAAGTTGCCAAAATCCATCGGATCAGTGATGCCGACAATGTTCAACGGTTTACCATTTCCAGTTATTGATTATTTATCAAAATTACCACTTTTTCCTTTCCTACTTCACCGTTCCCTGTTTTCCCTGCTTCATTCCATTTAGCAACAACAACAAGGGAGGTCAAAAAAAAAAAAAAAATCGGTACAACAATAAGTGAATTCAAAGCAAATATACGGATCTTAAAAAACTGGGAAGAAAAAAGTGATAAAAAAAACAATGAAAAAAAAAAATAAAACAATCAAAAATTTAATTAACAGCCAAAGAAAAAAAAAGGCAACAAAGCAATTTCTGTTAAATTCAAAAGTTTATTGTTATTAAACTAATTTAGTGTTGTTTAGAAAGAATTTCAATAAAATGCTAAAAAGATAAAACATAAAAAAATT